TGCTCACTGACAGGGCTCCCATCGTAAACTTGGTGCTTCTCATCTGTAAACTCAGGTAATCCTCACCTGAAATAGAATCATTATGAAATAGTCATTCTCTCTACTTGAGATGAGAAAAGCTGAGATTCCAAGGGAATACTTTGCTCAATTCAGGGCCAGCAGATGATGTAGTCGCTGAGACACTGGACTCCCACATGGCCAACCAAGGTTCGAGTCTCAGACCTGGCAGCTCATTTTCTCACTTTCCCTTTCGCTTTCTCGCTCTTTCTGTGTCCCAATTGTGCATGTGCCCTATAGCATGTTAAATAATAATAATACATACATACAATTAAATAAATATTTTTTTAAAATAATATTTTACTCCATTCGTGCAATTAGTCAAGTATAAAACATTTATTAACCTCTCACTGACATTACTCCAAACCCTATGCTGGTCTCATTACTGTTACCGTATAGGCTGAACATGAATTTAAATAGAAAAAGAGATGACCATATTCTTGGATGAAAACTATGTTCAGCGTTATAAAGGTAGTTTCAATGGCCGTGTTGCAGTCTTTGAGGGCAACTCCTGAGAGAACATCTCTGACTTCCTCTTACCTCCCTGCATGCTCTCTCCCACGGCACAGACAAGTCAGCACCCAGTAGATGGGCGCTTTTGATGATACTGGCCAGACAGCAACAATCTCGAAGGTCCTGTTCCCACTCTATGCCTAGAATTTTATGGTGCATTTGACCGAGTTACCTGTGGGTACCTCAAACAGCAGAAAAGCAAGAACGAGAAACAGCTTCATGTTTACAGAGTTCCCAGCAGAACTTCTTTGCCAGTGGTCTGTCTCATACAGTCTGTTAAGATGGGCCAGAGCTTTGAGGGCAGTCAGTGTTCTGAGCTAGCATTTTAACCCACACTGACAGACCGGAAATGAAAGTCCACCTCCATCTACGTTCCCAAATATAGAATTTATTATCACAGAATGTTCCATCATATTACTCCCCCTTCTTCAGAAGATGAACTAGAGAAAAGGAACTATGGCTTCTCTACCTGGACTGTCAGCCCATTTGGGTCAAGGTTGGTTGGTCATATGTCCTGGTTTGCATGGGACAGTCCTGGTTCAATTCTTATTATTCCAATGTCTCATCCAGCTATTGCTACCTCTCACTCACAAAGTAACGCAGTTTGGAAGAGAAATTAAATCATTAGTCAAGATAGACACATAAGCACATTGAATAATAATTTTTAAGAAGTATTTTATTTAACTTTATTTTTAATTTGACCAGAGAGGGACAGAGTAAGAGAGCACAAGAGGGAAAGTGAGAAAGCAAGCCACCAGGTCTGGGACTCAAACTGCAGTTGGCTATGTGGGAGTCCAGCATCCTTAACCACCCTGCCACCTGCTGACCCCAAATAATAATTTTTAACAATTTTTTTAAAGAATTATTTATTTAATTTTATGTATTTTTTAAAATTTGCTATAGGGCACATGTGCTTACCAGAGAGAAAGAGAGAAAAAATGAGAAAGCAAGCCTCCAGGTCTGGAACTCGAACCACAGCCGGCCATGTGGAAGCCCTGCACCTTAACTACCATGCCATCTACTGACCCCAAATAATTTTTTTTAATGTTTGAAACTTCCGGATAGTCATTCTAGAAGTAAGATAGCTTTTAGGCTTGAGAGTTTCCCGTAAAGTCTTGCCCATCCAGTATAGCATCATTCTACAACCAGAATCCTCCAGAAGATAAAATCTTTTTTCTTTTTTTCTTTTTTTACATATTTTGCTTTCCCCCCTCCCTTGATTCCCTACCTCCCACTCTCTGCCACTTCTCTGGTATATACAGTTGTTTTCCATGCCATTTTTTCCCCATATTTTATTGGTTCACTAAAGATCTAAATTAATTTAAAGACTTTCAATATCAAGCACAGCTGATATAT